TCTTTCTAATATTCTTTCTAATATAACTCATCGATGGTACGGATTACACTGCGTCACACTGCATTGTCTTAGGTCAACGTTAAGGTTAAAGGTCATCAATGTAGTTGTTGGTGTGTGTGTGTGTGTGTGTGTGTGTGTGTGTACTCACCTAGTTGTACTCACCTAGTTGTGCTTGCGGGGGTTGAGCTCTGGCTCTTTGGTCCCGCCTCTCAACTGTCAATCAACAGGTGTACAGGTTCCTGAGCCTATTGGGCTCTATCATATCTACACTTGAAACTGTGTATGGGGTCAGCCTCCACCACATCACTTCCTAATGCATTCCATTTGTCAACCACTCTGACACTAAAAAAGTTCTTTCTAATATCTCTGAAGTTCTTTCTAATATCTCTGATATTAGAAAGTGTGTGTGTGTGTGTGTGTGTTCCGCGAAGCACGGTTCAAAGCGATGTTATCAGCATGTGTGGCACACACACAGCACACAGGGACGGAAGCTGGAGCCAGCGGCAGGGGGCACTATACAACTTCCAGGACCCAGGCATGATAGACGTCTGGTGATGGTGATTAACGCGGCAACAGGTCGATCATAACTCATTAATGGTACGGACTATGCTGCGCCACACTCCAGTGTCTTAGGTCAAGTTAAGGTTAAGGGTCATCAATGCAGTTGCAGTGTTCCTGCTACAGAGGAAAAAGGGCAACATGGACGTGTGATATCTTACAACATCATCTAAATTATAATTTTTTGTTAAATATTCATTCGTGGGCCTTAAGCCTGTGGCTGGACAGGTGACAGAAACATAGACAGTTTCACAAAACTGACAAGTTTAAAATATATGTATCACTATCAAAATTCTTTCCTTCTGTTATCTATATATATGGATAAAGTATTCAACACTTGGTTCTACTAATTTTATTTCAGGGAAACAAATAAGATGTTTTTGTAGTAAAGAATATGAACCTCGCCCCCTTCCCGTTCTCTGGCTGTTATCGTCCTCTCTACGGTCGACCGTAAACACGCATTCGTCAATTTATACATTTTTTATTAGAAATCGTTATAATAAAAATACTAATAATTATTATTATTATTATTAGTATTATTATTATTATTATTATTATAGTTAGGTGAAGGTTAGATTCTGTTGGCAATTATTTGTATTTGTAGTACTTGGATGAAGCATTTATAGAGTTGCAATTCGAATATAGAGGGAAAGTGAAGCAATGTTCAGGGAGAAGTTCGAACGTCGTCAGGTTTGAGCGGTGTGTCAAGAGTTTTTCATTCGTAAACAGAGGGTTTAGCGGCTGGATTTGCGAGCTTTAAGGCATTGTTTATGAAGACGGGCTGCACCTCGCAGCACCGCGTTGTTGGCCTGGGTCACTCTTGGTCACTCTTCGTCACTCTTAGTTTGTTGTTGTTTTAGATTCAGCTTCTCAGAACAAAAGTTCCAAGTAGCATGGGCTATGGTGAGCCCGTAGTGGACTTACCTGGCACAGGAGCGGGGCTGTGTATTTTTAGTTTGAGTCACTCTTATTGGGGGTCTGGTCAAGTCCTACACCTGTCCTCAGGCTAGGCTCGGCCACGTGGCGCCCAACACGTATTCATTCATTTTAACGGATTCCGTATTCAATATTTGTATTTACTCATATGAGACAATATTATTTCATACTAGAATGTGCCGAATAGTTTGACTAACTTAGGTTAGGTGGTTAGGGTCTGAGGGCCAATATTTGTAATTGCAGCCTGTGACTGAAGCAGTTAGAAAGGTGCAATTCGATCAGAGGATTTGAATGTAGCACTGTTCGAAGAAAATACATGTCATCAGTTGTTGGTCGTGTGTGTAAACAGTTTTTTATTCATAAACACGGGGTATGGTGGCTGGATTAACTAGAATTTGGCGTGTGTTGATGAGGACGAGATTGATGTTGTACACACGTTTCGCCCATTGCTCGTTTTCTTTTTATTAAAACTAAATTTCCTAACATTAGGGTGCACCAGGTTATGCTAGACTAGGTTGGGTTAAGATACAATATATTGAGTTAGGATTAAGTTATGCTAAGTTGGTTCTATTACAATAAAATGTCGGACGTCGAACTGTCCAATGTGCGAAATCACCTGTATCAGACTCGTTGCTCGTGGCGGGACTCTTCAGCTCTTGGGTCCCGCCTCTCAGCTGTCAATCAACTGGTGTACGCGCTTCAGAAATGTACATAGGGATGTTACAAAGTGTTCTTTCAGCGTAAGATTAGTGGGGAATAGAAAGAACTAGAAGGGCAGGTTGTAGAAGTAAACTCCATTCTTAACTTTAAAGGTAGATATGATAGGGAAGTAGGTGAGGAGTATTGCTTTAAACAACCGATAGCTAGAAAAGTGAGGTCCCAAGGCTAGTGATCGATCCTGCAGGCTCCAATTGGTGAGTGCAATTAGATGAAATAGATGAGCACACGCGTGAACACACACAGTGTTGGCAGTGATGTGGTGGAGGCTGACTCCATACACAGTTTCAAGTGTAGATATGACAGAGCCCGATAGGCTCAGGAATCTGTACACCTGTTGATTGACGGTTGAGAGGCGGGACCAAAGAGCCAGAGCTCAACCCCCGCAAACACAACTAGGTGAGTACAACTAGGTGAGTACACACACACACTGGAGAGAACAAGCCAAAGAACCAAAGCTCAACCCCCGCAAGCACAACTAGATGAGTTGTACTAGGTGAGTACAAGTGCAAAGCGGGTTGCGAATTACGTACTTGAGGTCAAGACTGTTGAGGGAGGGGAATGATCAGGGGCAAGCGCCCAGCCATTACGACTATATTACATTTGGAAGAGGTCAGGATAAGAATTTGAGATGGGACTGAATGAAGGAATGGTGCTTAACCCCTTTCAGGAACGGTCGGGGATTGAACGCCGACCTGAATGAATAACAGTGTGAAAACCGCATAGCGTTTGAGGGCAAAAGAAGCAGCACAGACGTATCAGAAAAACGACAACGTTGAATGAGAGTGTTCATGATAAACAAAAGACGGAGAACATATAGAAAATGACAGAAAAAAAAAGTGTGATGTGACGGGATATGAAAATTTCTTAACTTCTCTTATGAGAATTTAACGAGATTTTTAAAGACAATATGATTAAGTTCACGTTGAACTTAACGAGCAGAAGATGGCAAGGATGTTAGAAAGAAGTTTTGTTAGGGAAAGAGCAGTGAGCAAATGGTAAGGAGTGGTAGAAGAGATAACCTAATTGAATTCAAAGATCAATATCAAAGATAAGTTGAGAAAAAGAAGAGTTGGGAGGCAATGCTTTAGACATCCGACAGCTGGTGAGGCGGGTCTTAGGAGCTAGTGTTCGTTCCTGGAGTCATATTCAAGACTAACACACACACACACACACACACACACACACACACACACACACACACACACGCACACAGAAACACACATGCGCGCACACATAAAATAACACACATGCACTCAATAGGATCCATCGATTGATTGATGAAGATTAAGCCACCCAAGAGGTGGTAAGGGCATGAATAACCCGTAAAGGATCCATCATTGTTGTTGTTTTAGAGACATCAAAATGTCCATGTAGCACGGGCTATAGTGAGCCCGTAATCAACAAGTTTAGACATAATTACTCCAGACCTTATATGTTTCATCCTTCCTCCACCACACATTGTATCTACCTTTCATCTTCAATTACAGCTTGCTTGATCACTCCCCCCCCCCATCCCCGCCCAAGATGAGGGGGGGGGGGTGTGGAGGGAAATCTTCTTCCCTTTCCTATATTCCTCCTTACGTTTTATTTTTTCTTTCATTTACAATTTTATGACCCTCCACCTTATCTCCCGCTTCCTTCTCCCCACATCATCCATTCGTACTTCATCTCCTTCATACTCTTTTGATGTTTCCCTCTTGTTTTCCTTCAGTTCCCTCTCTATGTCCCTCCCTTTAGATCTCTCCCTCCCTCTATTCTCCCCCTCCCCATCCCATCTTTACCTTCCCCTCTCTACCTCCCTCTCTTTAGATCTCTCCTTCCCTCTGTTCCCCCCCCCCTTCCCTTCTTTACCTTCCCTCTCTACCTCCCTCCCTCCCTTTAGATGTCCCCCCCCCCACCCCACCGTATTCCCGGTAGGGGATCAGATAACACTGACCTCGGACGCAGCTTGCAGACTCCAGCATCCCGCGATAAAAGCGTTTAACCCTCTTGGCATCGATTACTGATTAATACTGATCCCAGTGTTGTTGCGGCTGATCTTCAGCCTTCTCGTTAAGCTAGCGAGCCTCCTCTTGCCCTGCCTCTCGCTGCTGCTGCTGCTGCTGCCTCGATGTCGTCACCATCAACGCAAGATGGGAAGTGGAGAGTGAAGAAACAGTTCGGTAATAAGTAATTGATTACATGAAACTCTATGTTTTGTTGCTTAGAAGGGGGGTATGAGGAGGGTAGGGGTTGTTTGAAGGGTTGCAATTATAGTTGTTAGATGATCGAGTTGGTTCTAAGATGACCTAGACGTCTTGCAAAAGGTCATTGGAGTTGATAGTCAGAGGCGTAAAGTGTCTAATCGCGGTAAAACAAAAAATCTGGCTTGTGTTGTTTGCGAGCATTGTTCCGTATTAGGGTGATCAGGCCGCTCGCCTCTGGAAAATGTTCGGCCACGCTGCCAACCGCGGGCGCCAACACCTGTGGAGGTTCCCATAGTTGAGGCCGACACCCGCGCCCTCCCAACCTTTCCCACTGCCAAATGAACCAGTTTCTGTGCGTTTCGTCTCCTGGAGATGTGATCTGCGACACGCAGCATCCTGCAGCATCAAGCCTGCCAGTCCGTATCAGAACAGGTTTTCCCGTGGCGAGCCGGATACCTCGAGCGGAGCCCAACTGGCGGCAGCGGGGCCGGCTGGGGCTACAAGAAGCGGAGCTGACAGCCATTGGTTGTGGGGCGCGAATGATGCTGGAACAGAATCTCTTTACAACGCGGCACTGGAAGCCGAGGAAGGAATGACAAAATGGCAAGTATATAAGGGAGCAAAGTTTCACCTCCGAGCTTATTCACACTCGGGGCCTCGCTGTGGACAGGCTGGGGGACAGGCAGACAGCCGGCTCTCATCACCCAACTTTGCCCATCAGAGACGCGACGCCCAATTGAATCCGATAAATAATTAAAAGCCCCTGGAAATATGATGCACTTAAGACTTCATATATACATAGACGAGTTAGGAGAGGATTGGGGTGTGTGAGATTTGCGTGTGCGTGTGGAGGGTTGAGCGTGGGAGCGCGCCATGCGCGTGTGGTCTTTGACGCATTCCGAGCCCGCTGCTCCAGGTCTTGTCTCGTGTGACCTGTAACAGACGTGATCCGGTGACATCTGTGAGCTGCCGTGACGTCCCTGGAGCCAGCCTCGGTGCCCCCGCCCCTCTCGCCGCTCCCCCAGCAGGAGGAGGGCCCGCCGTCGCCCGCTCTCTGGGCTCAGCCGCCGTCTGGATCATCACCTGAGGCGGCCGCGGCCCCGTCAGGTGAGACCATACCCATCCTGGCGCCTGAACTGTCTTCGGTGATTCCCCTGACGCTGCCGTGGTCCGTGCCCGGACCCGCCACGCTGCAGCTTCCGGCCGTCTTCCTGTCGGAGTCTCGCGGGTCACATCGGCCGCTGTCGCCGCCGCCCCCGCCGCTACCGCCCAGCGCGTCGCCGCCGCCGTCGCCGCACGTGCACCACCACCACCATCACCACCACCACCACGCGTCCCTGGCGTCCAGCGCGGCGTCCGTCACCCCGCCGCTGACCACCGCCGCCACCTCCAGCACCGTCACCAGACTCTGTCCGGCTCCGTCCCTCGGTGCGGCGGCGGCGGCGGCGCCCCTCGGCGGCCCGACATACACCGCCCGCTCCTCCGCCGCCAGGATGGGCACCGGGAGGTCAGGTAAGTCTATCACCCACCCACGCCCACCCACCCACTTCCTAACTATCGATTTTTCCCGGTATAAATAACCGCTTCACTATTAATTCATGTTGTGAAGCGGATAACCGCCATCTTGGCCAGCTTCACGTTATTTTTTTACACACCTGGACACAGGTGCCACGGCATATTGTGTTGATCGTCTATTATGTCACAACCTACAGGTAAGACTTCGAAACTCTGTCAAGTACAGAGTGGACAGGTAAGGTCTATATTAATCGTCAACTGCCACGTACAGAGTGGACAGGTAAGGTCTATATTAATCGTCAACTGCCACGTACAGAGTGGACAGGTAAGGTCTATATTAATCATCAACTGTCACGTCCAGAGTGGACAGGTAAGGCCTATATTAGCGATGATTATCACAAGCAGTTTCCTACCTCAAGACACTTCGCTCTCTTCTGAGTCCTCGGGAAACACTGAAGGTGATTTCAGTCATTGGCACCTCTGCTCAGGAGTGCCAGGTAGAGCCCATGGCACCTTGACTTGGGAGTGCCATGACACATGGAATTGCCTAAGGAGTAGGTCTGGAGATATTGCGTGCGTGTGTATCCGTAATTCTGCCTGTGTATCTCTATTTGCGTGAGTGTGTGTGTCTGTTTACGTGCGTAAGCATATGTTTCTGTATTTGCTTGCGTGTGCATATGTTTCTCTATTTGCGTGCATGAGTAAATGTTTTTCTATTTGCGTGTGTATGTTTCTACATTTGCTTGCGCACGTTTCTATATCTACATGCATATGTTTCTCTATTTGCATGCGTATATATAGTGCGTGTGAGTTTCTGTATAAACGTGCGTGCGCGTATATAAGCACCTGCGTGCCTCTGTCTGTAGTTCTGTATTTGCGTGCTTCTGAATCTGCGTCCATGTGCGTATGATTTCGTGCCGGTGTGTGTGTGCGCGCGCGAGTGAGAGAGGAGCAAAGACATCATGAGCATTGGAAGGCAAAATAACGAACCTCGTTAACCTATCACTGAAACCCCCTTAGCCGACCTACTCACCACATAGCGAGATAATTTATACACAAGATAACAAAGGGAAAAGTTAAGCTTTTCACTAAAGGCTTCCGTGATTAGGTAAAGCAAATTTAAGCTGATTTGCATAAAATAACATCTTTTGTACACGCTTGCTAAGATTTAGGAGAATATTTAGCTTTTATTTAAGCAACTTTTTTTTGTACCGTTTACAGTATGACAGAAATGATCGATTTTAGTGGATTATGTCTGTATGGTCCACCCATCGGGTACTTTATCCAGGATGATCAATGTAAATCAGGGAAGCTAATGTTTTTACTGACCTATCCTGGACGCCGTCGGCGTCCGTCCTGCCTATTTTCACGGTTTTGATAAGCATTAAATTTCAAGTGTTTTTTTGCCTAACCAGATGCGTACGTCTGTATGAAAAATCTACCTAACTAATGTTGAGACAAATGCTCATTAGTCCGAAATGCGTCCATAATACGGTGGTTTAATTTCGACGCTGTAATCGATAGCGTCTAAATTGCGTCTATATTCAATCCATTAAATGTATGGATTGAACCCGGCTCGGCTTCCCAACACAGTTATAGTGGGTGATAAGTTATATTAATCAATGCGCTAACTCCCCGCTTATGAAAAAAACGCTTTATTTTTGTACCCGGAACAGTCTACTGTATTTTTCCACCTAAAGTATCGAAATTTTCGACGAAATTGGTAATTTTTTGGCCTATTTTAAATGGTTAAGGGGTTAAATTAACGCTACAGTTGGTTATAGTCGACCGCTTCTTCATGTCGAGTGACCTCGGCGTTCACTATATCGAAACTTAAGCACCAATATAACAGAAAAACACCTAAACTAACATGAATGATGTTTAATAACAAGTTGTATTTATTATAAACTGTATATAAATGCATTTAACAATAAAAAGGTAATTGTCTTTCCGAAAATCTATTAATATGTGTTTTCTCTCTTAATTTGGTCTTTGATTTTTTACTAATTATTTTAATTGTGAAGGAAGCGCGAACCTTATTAGCATTACTGCAGGTGATATAATTGTTATTAATATTAATTAATATTTTATTATATATTTTTTTGTTTAATTACCATCATTATTTATTGTTTGATTATCATCATTACTTAAGGTTTTATTATCAATAGTAATGTTTGTTTTCGTTAGCATTACAGTTAATAAAACTAGTAACAATACTATTTATCTGTATTGCTTTTTCTGGTTTTACTTTATTCTGTTGATTTTTACTATATTTCTTATTCTTCTTCTTATTCCTATTCTCATTATTATTATTATTATTATTATTATTAATATTATTATTATTATTATTATTATTATTATTATTATTATATCGTTATTCTTATTATTTTGTATTATTATTATTTTATTATATCTATTATTGTTTTATTTAATTACGGTTTAAATTATTGTAAGGTAACTCATTTTATAAAATGAATTTGCGATATAAATGTATTTACAAATTAATCATAAAATTAAGTAATTTATCGCTTGTGTACAGGTATCTATAGTGATGTGGATCTTCCATTCATCTCCAAATTATATATTTTAATAAATAATAGTAAAGGAATAGAATTGATAATTAATGTATAATAATGTATAATATGAATTTTGCTTCATAAGCCAGTCATATGCATGACGCTTGGCTTACTGGAGTGAGGGTCCGTCTTGGTCGCCATTCTCCTGCCGGAAGGAGTTCCATAACTGTTCATATTTCTGTTGACACGAATCTCGAAGTTATTCAGTCCGTGCCAAGGAGATATCCTCGTAGTCGCTGGTGCCAATATGTGGCACCTCTTGTCTTGGTGAGATGGTGGGGGGGGGCAGGTTGTGCTCCAATACACGAATAACTTCCTATCCCAAGTCTGATCTGGTCGGTACAGCAACGGCTTTGTAAGTTACAAAGCCGTTGCTGTACCGACCTACAGAGTTGCTGTACCGACCTACATCTAACTTACAGAGTTGACGTTAGATACACGATGGTACCCAAAGTGTTGGGGGCCATCGGGGATCCTTCGTTTTTTCCATTCCTTCCCTTCGACTTCATTGTCTAGCGTCACGTCATTGTCGAACGTCATTGAACGTCATTTCGTTGAACATCAACGAAACGTCATTGTTTAGCTCGTTGCTCTCATGCCCCTGCCAAGGACAACATTGTCACATTGGTTTTGAGTTTTTTTTATATATAGCATTGTTGACCAGACCACACACTAGAAATTGAAGGGACGACGACGTTTCGGTCCGTCCTGGACCATTCTCAAGTCGATTCAGCCACGTTATTGTGACTCATCGCCTGCATATATAGCATTTATCATTATTGCAATCTTTGGCTTCACCAGAGCCCCATTCTTAAAGAACGGAATGGCGAGCGTGTTACATGTGACTGTCCAACGAATGTTTCTTTAGCACCATCAGAGCAATTTTCAATGCTCATTTTATATGAACTAACACCCAATTAAGGAACTCATTTAGTGCAAGCAGAATTGCACATTAGGGTACCTTACCTTGAGGTTACCTTGAGGTGCTTCCGGGGCTTAGCGTCCCCGCGGCCCGGTCGTCGACCAGGCCTCCTGGTTGCCGGGTAGGAGGAATGCACTCAATTGATATTCTAAGAGATTTAAAAGCCATTCAGGGGGCATCCCTCCTGGTAACTACTCAAATGTGCAGTCACTTTGCAAACAAATTGTAAATGAGCACAAAATGATAATCAATATATTGAAAGTAGATCAACGCTGATAAAGAGATATAGATAACTAACTTCCAGACGTGAAGTTCTAGATTGCAACCGCCAATATCTTTTCGGTATCAAAAATATTTAAATAATAGAAATTGTAAAAGTATATCCAATATATATATATATATATATATATATATATATATATATATATATATATATATATATATATATATATATATATATATATTAAAATACATGTACAGTACAGTAAAAACAATAATATTCAAATTAATAAAACCCATATTTTTATATTGTTAATATTAAAATTATAATCGCAATACGAAGATGATATTCAATAAATTCTGAGTATCATTCCAAATCAAAATAAATATTATGTAGCTCTGTTGCTTGCAACATCGAGTGCATTTCTGACTACAGCATCCACAAGTGCAATTCTGTATTGCACCGTTAGGTTGCAATATCGAAAGCGCAAATCAGCCATAAAAGCCAAAAATGTCATTATAGCTTTCAAAATTTAAAGTGCAGTTCTGCTTGGAGCACCCAAATGTTCACGTCTTCTTGCAACTTCCAAATATACAGTTTTGATTGCAACATCCAAATACAGTATACAGTTCTACTTGCAACACTTAGGCTGGACGCTATAGTGACGGTTTCGCTTCATGCAGGTCGGCGTTTATTCTCTGGCCGTTCAAGTGGTTGGGCACAATTCCTTTCCCCCCCCCCCTCTCATACCATCCCAAATCCTTATCCTGATCCCTTCCCAGTGCTGTATAGTCGTAATGACTCGGCGCTTTCTCTTGATAGTTCCCTTCCCTTCCCTTCCCTTCCCTTCCCTTCCCTTCCCTTCCCTTCCCTTCCCTTTCCTTCCCTTCCCTTGCCACGCCCAAATGTTCTGCTTACAATGACCAAAAATAGCTTACATAACTAGGTAGAAAAAATTACACAAAAAAATCGTTATATTGCAAGAAAAATCGTTAATAATAATTTAATAAAAAAATAGAAGCAAAGTGTGCTGGGGACCTCAACGCTAAAGCGTACACACGCACGCACTCGTTCACACACACACACACACACACACACACACACACACACACACACACACACACACACACACACACACACACACACACACACACACACACACACAATCACACAAACACACGTACGCATCAGGGCATATAAAGCGTATATACGCCTATTATGTTTCCCAAATATAATCCCACTGTGCGTCGATCATAATCCGTCCCATATTTACAAAAAT